AAAAATTTCCCGCATTCATCGTGACTGTAGCTTGCCCCGGTAGTGAAGAGTTCCCTTGCGGCATTGAACAAAGCGAGTCCATCTGTGAGTGACGTTTCATTCCCCATCCCGGTAGTGTGTTTATTAAATATGAATAGGAGATGTGCACTCCAGGTGTCTTTGACCAATCTCCTCACCTTCCGCGGCAGTGTACGGATCTTCTCACCTGGAGAATTTCTGCGATGGCTGAGACTCTCTACTGTTGTCTCGCGCATAATCTTCTTGATCTTCGTTTCTGAAGGGCACTTCGACCAACCGGATTATGAGGAGGCTAGAGTGATCTCGAAAGATCGGCAAGCCAAAAGCCGATGCCGAATCGGGCATCGTTTTTATATAATTACAGGGAGAAGGAAGCCATTGGCCGTACAGGAAGTGCGAAACAGAGAGAAAACAAAAGAGGAAACAAGAGATACAAATACAGAAACGAGTACAAGTACAGAGCAGGTGGAGGACAAGAACTACTAGCAGAAAGTCGAGGAAGGACTTGGTGGTGCAGTCGCGACAGCGGGAAGTAGAGACAAATGTGCCGAAAGTGATGAAGGGCTATCGCCGACGTTGTTGTACATACGCCCGGCAGTCGTTCAACTCGCCATTGCATCGGACGACACTGTCGAGTTGCTGACATACACTTCGGAAGACTCGGATAAATTGCGGATAGCGTTGAAGGAGCATTATCTAGCAGAGAGCAGACGCTCAATTGACGATGGTCGATATCAAAGTCTGTGGTCGCGTTACCGACACCGGACTAACAAGAAGGCAGACATAAGAAGCCAGGTGGACGAGCAGGCTGACTTTGCAGTTCATAACCGTAATCGAGGTGTGGAATGATCTCTTGATCGTACGCATTTTCCTCTGGACGGCTGTCGAGATGAACGATTGAAACACAAGGCCCCTAGGCTTGGTCGGATATGGTCGTGGCGCTCAAGGCTGTATGGAGCCGCTTCTTTTGGTGACATCCATACGAACTATCTAGCGCTTTCTGTCTCCTCATCACGATGGGGAGTTGACAATCGTGAGACGGAGTGTGACGGAGGAGGAGATGGAGGGCTGGGAGCCCTTGACCTTCTTCCGCCACCAAGGATGAAGGAACCCGAAACATATTCATCAATCTCGTCCTCGTCCTCACCCTCATCCAGAACGTCCATCAATTCGTCCGGTGGCTCCTCTTCCTCCGTCGTTCCCGGAAGAACAATTACGAGGGATCTATCAAACGATTGAACGTCTTCCGACTGCGCACGTGGCGTCGAAATCGGTGTCGAACCGACCGACTCGCTTTTACTTATGTGGCATTCGGAATGCTCAGTCGATAGCTCCGGCGTGCTCCGGTTACTATCGAACTTGAACGTATCCTCGTTCGTCAGTTCGGACCCTGGCATCAGCGAGCTCCAATCACAAGGCAATAGTGTATCGAAGAGGTTATCCTCCTCTTCTTCTTCCGTTTTGATCTGTACGAACTCAACCGCAATTGCCGGGGAATCATCTATCGTTGATCTCACAGGTGCACGATCTGGAGATGGCGACCTCGTCGTCCTGTTTCCCTCGTCGCTTCCCGAGTTTGCGGGACCATCGGGAAAAACGATGCTGCGCGATGGCAGCTGACGGACGTTGGTCGCACCAATCGTGTTGTACAACGGTATTGAACGTGCGTTGGATGGCCCCGCAACGGCCTCCTCACTAATGCGCCGCCTCTTTATTGGCCTTGCCTCGTCTTCTTCGCCATCGACGCCCTCGATTGGGCGCTTGCCGCCTACCCGGACAGCACGACCTTGAGTAGTCGCCCTTCTAGTTTTTCTGCGGGTCCACCCATGCCCGCGCTTCTTGCGAGCTTTCGGCCTGGGAGGGAGTGAGAGGGACGCATTCGGAATGTCTGGACCTTATGTCAGCTCAATGCTGCACTTACGTATGGAGGTCTAACTTACCTTCACGAGAATTTTGCGGACTTTCGGTGGAAGATCCCGATGCCTGTGGCTGGCAATCAAGGACCTCGGCTGAATAAATATTTTAAAATGAGGAATTTTGACTCGGAATGAGGAAGATGACTTACCATTTCTTTTACGTTTTGTTTCGCCAACATGCGTGGCTTGCGCTGTATGCGTGTTGGAGGACGTCGACCCTGCCGAGGAGGACTGGTCCTCTCTAGGAATGAAGGTTTGTAGAGCACCGTGACCACCCGTGCTGATGCTGAAGGCATTGGTATGAACGTTGGCGGAGCCTTCAGCCTCGTTGCTAAAGACGGCGGTGCTGTCTCTTCTGTTTGTCTGGATATTTCCTCCAGAATGCGAATATCGCGAGCCTCTTGCGCGTGTCGTCGGCGTTTCGTTGTTGGTTGCTTCGACGCCAGTGTTTGCACGTCGCTTTTGCATCGCGCGAGTGAGAACCATTGTGTTCTATTGTATGAATGACACGCTGACGGGGGGAAGTTGTTCCGAAGAATTGTTGTTGTGTGTGGGAAGTGGGAGTGTGCGGGGGGTGTGGGGGGTGTGCACTGAGTTGGTTGACTTTGACAGCCACGCTCTTTATATGATTTCACGATATGGTCTGAGCGTCATCAAGACAGTCGCGTCTTTTCCGCACCCGGACCCTGAGTTCCACGGCCCTAATTTGGTTAGCTTGAATTGGCCACTCACAATTCGACTTGAATTTCACTAAGTCAAAATGAAGTCCTTTTAATGAAAATACATGTTCCCCTCCCTAATCCTAACCAAATCCCAACCTAATACCTAAACCTAACAACCCAGCTTAGCCAAAACCTAATTGGGGGGGCAGAGCCCCCCAAACCCCCCTCCTAACTTCTTAGTCTGAGAACTGCCACACAGATATTAAGTAAGTGGCCATTCAGGGTCATCCCTAAATGGGCCGTGGGATTCAGGGTCCGGGTGCGGAAAATCAAAGGTCCATCAAGACACATCAGTACAAATCTAACCATCTT